ACAGTATCGATCACACTCGATCGATCTCACTAAAGATCTCACTATCGATCTCACCATAAATCTCACTATAGAGCTCGCTTTCGATCTCTACCGATCTCACTATCTATCTCACGATCGGCTCCCCTATCGATCCCACCGTCGATCCCATGGTCGATCTCACAGCCAGTGGCACAATCCACCTCACTGCCGATCTTACTTTTGAGCTCACTGTCCATTCCATTCTGGCGATCTCGTTATCGATTTCACCATCGACCTCACTATTATCGATACCGAGGCGCGACACGGCCGACCACTGCCCGCCCGCCGCCGAGGGAACACCGATCCGAGACACCGACGGGACACCCACGGGACACCAACGGGACACCACGGCGGGACACCCCGGGCCACCGCGGGCGGAGGGGCGGTCCGCGGCAGCCGACTCGCCCCGGCGACGGCGGGGTCCTTCCTCTCGCGCGCCCGCTCCTCCTCCTCCTCCTCCTCCTCCTCCCCTCCTACTCCTCCTACTCCTCCTCCTCCTCCTCCTCCTCCCTCCTACGGCCTCCTCGTCCTTTCTTCCTCTCGTCCTCTCCTCCTCCTCCTCTCCTCCTCCTCCTCCTCCCTCCTCTCCTCCTCCTCCTCCTCCTCCTCCTCCTCCCCCCCCTCCTCACAGCTTCGCCTCGCCCGCACGCACGACACGAACACGAAACCGAAACCGACTTCCCAGTGGGGAGCTCTCCCCTTCCACTGCGATCTCACCCACGAACCTCCGATCGGGGCGTTGCATCTTTGTCGCGCAGTGCGTTGTCGCCTGGTTCCGGGCCTGGGGATCATCGCAGATGCATCCAGCTCGAGGAATGGGCACCGGGGCTCCGGTTGTTATTTCTCGCGCCAGGTCAGGTTAGGTCTAAGTCGGGCCTGTCCCTCTACGGGCCGATTTTGGATGAAAAATAAGAAATAGTCAAACATACCCTAAAATATTCAAAAATGGCATCGTCCCAAGACTATTTTTGACTATTTTCTAATTTTCCCCCTGTAGAGGGACAGGCCCGATTGAAGGTCAGGTCTGATCGCGCGCGGAGGCCGCACGCGCCCCACAAGTGGAGACGGCGGTTAAAAGTGATGCAGTGGTACACATTGCTCATTTCTAATTATTCGAGAGTTCTTTGTTTTTTTGGGGGCAAGATCCTTTCATTTCTAAGTGTTCTATCCTGGGCCTCTTCCTGGCCACTAGGGGGCCAGGAACAATTAGAAACGAGCACACTCAGAAATGAGCGCGATTAGCCATGAACGACGTGTACTGCGAAAGCACGGTGTCGACGAGATCCTCCTCGAAACTGGCCGCAGTGCCGTGCCGTTTTTGCCGCCCTTCCCGCGGCGGCGGGCCTCGGGGAGGAGCCCAGCTCCCAGGAGACGGGTGCGTCTGGGGGCCGGCAACTGGGTTTAAGTCGGGCCTGTCCCCCTACAGGGGGAAAGTTCAAAAATAGTCAAACAATGGTCTTGGGACGATGTTTGTCACCGTTGTTGCATATGTTGTTGCCTTTTTTGACTATTTTGTATTTTTCGTCCAAAATCGGCCTGTGGGGGGACAGGCCCGACTTACGACTGGTGCGTCTGGGCCTCGGGAGGTGTCTTGGGGCCGATCTTGTCGGGCGGGCGGTGACTGGGTGTTCAAGCAGTGGCGAAGCGTCCTGGCGCGCCTATAGGCCTACCAAACAATGTTCTACGAACCGCTTGTGGTTTCCACGACATGTTCTTGGAGCATTTCTGGCTGGGACTGACTTGTTTCAACACATCGGGTTTATATTCTAAGAACGTTGTTTCTGTTCTTAGAGCGCTTTGGTGTTCTAAGAACATTTCGCGATAGGACCATGGGAATGCCAGGACGGTCGGTCCCTGCTCAAGGTGTGACCTGAATGGTGATAGTTTTCTTATTCATTGTTTTGCCGATCGGCGCGGGCCCTCGCACCCCCCCTCCCCCCCACACCCCTCATGGAGTAGATCCTGGCCGTTTGGGGCGCCTGTTTCGAGCAGGTGGAGTCTCCCCCACAGGACGCACGGTTCCAAGCAGGCGCACGAAGCAGAGGTCCAGAGCCAGACCCCCCCTCCCCCCTCCCCCCCCGCTTCCGCCCAATGTCGAAACGCCGAATAAGAAGAAAACCATCAGATGAGGGATGAAGAACAGGGCCCGTGGGGCCCCTGCGGGCTCCAAGAGGGGCCCCAAAGGCCCCCTTTGAGGCTTCTCTCTCCGCCCCCCATTGAGGCTCCTGGCCTCCCAGATGGGGTCCAAGCTGGTGGCGTCGGAGGATCGCGCCGCATTGCCGATGCATCGGCGACGCGGCTCGATGTGGAGCCCGTTTTCCTCCTCGCAGACGGCGCCGATGCATCGCCGACTTCGCCAGTGCATCGCCAATGCATCGGCGATGCATCGCCGATGCATCGGCGATAGGGCGCAAGGGAGCCGACTCTGACCCCATCTAGGAGGTCCCTATAGGTCACCCCATTACATGCCTGTCGTTGGAAGTATGTATTTCTGGATTCCCGTATCCTAATCTATTTTAAGCGCCTTCCTACTTCAAGAGTAGATATGTTTCTGACGTCGACCCCCCGGAGGTCTCGACCCATCCCCTGTGACCGGTTTCTCATCCCGAGCCGTCCCTTGACGGCAGAGGCCGAAGATGGCCAAAACGAACCTCCCGCCGTGACTCCTTCATGCCGCCAGGAGGTCTGGACTTGAGAGGCCTCCCCCCCCCCTATCCACCCCCTGCTGTGCGCCGCCAGGGGTTGCTCCCTGCCCCCCGCGCCGCGGGTCGCGGCGAGGCCGCCCCGGGCAGGCCCGGCGGGCGCCGGGTGGGCTCCACGGAGGTCCCCAGGAGCGCCGCGAGCTGCTCCAGAGGCGCACCCCCGGGGCCCAGGAGGCTCCTCCAAGGGGGGGGCGCCGAGTGGGCTCCACAGAGGGCCCCAGGAGCGCCGCGAGTTGCTCCGTGCAGAGGCATATCCCCGGGCCCCAGGAGGCCAGGAGGCTCCCCGGGGGGGGGGGGGGACGCCAAGTGGGCTCCACGGAGGGCCCCAGGAGCGCCGCGAATTGCTCCAGAGGCACATCCCCGGGCCCCAGGAGGCTCCCCCAAGGGGGGCGCCAAGTGGGCTCCACAAAGGGCCCCAGGAGCGCCGCGAGTTGTTCCATGCAGAGGCATATCCCCGGGCCCCACGAGGCCAGGAGGCTCCCCAGGGGGGAGGGGGGGCGGGCGCGCCAAGTGGGCTCCAAGGAGGGCCCCAGGAGCGCCGCGAATTGCTCCAGAGGCACATCCCCGGGCCCCAGGAGGCTCCCCCAAGGGGGCGCCAAGTGGGCTCCACAGAGGGCCCCAGGAGCGCCGCGAGTTGCTCCAGAGGCACTCCCCTGGGCCCCAAGAGGCTCCCCAGGGTGTGGGGGGGACGCCAAGTGGGCTTCACGGAGGGCCCCAGGAGCGCCGCGAGTTGCTCCAGAGGTACATCCCCGGGCCCCAGGAGGCACCCCAGGGTGGGGGGCGCCAAGTGGGCTCCACAGAGGGCCCCAGGAGCGCCGCGAGTTGCTCCAGAGGCGCTCCCCAGACCCCAAGAGGCTCCCCAAGGGACCGAAGCATAACATCGAGGTCGGTTCGGGGAGGGTGCCCTCGTGTTCTTCGTGCTTGCTGGATGCTCTCGTGCATCCCTGGGAGGGTGCCCTCAGATGCTCTGCTTGTTTTGGCTGACGGAGGGTCCCATGTTCTGGGGGGATGTTCATCTGCTCTGCTTGTTTGTCCTCCTCCTCCTCCTCCTCCTCCTCCTCCTCCTCCTCCTCCTCCTCCTCCTCCCCTCCTCCTCCTCCCTCCCTCCTCCTCTCCTCCTCCTCCTCCTCCCCCCCTCCTCCTCCTCCTCATCCTCCTCCTCCTCCTCCTCCTCCTCCTCCTCCTCCTCCTCCTCCTCCTCCTCCTCCTCCTCCCCCTCCTCCTCGGGGCCTCCGTGCGCGCCGCCAACTTTCGGCGGGCATGCGCCCTGCCTCGCCGCCGCTGCCCCCGGCGGTGCGGCGCCGTCCTCCGACGACAGCCTCTCCGAGGGCGCCTGCTCTCGTGAAATAGGCTTCGAATTGATCCCCGTCGATTTGATCCTCTTCGAACTGATCCCCTCGATTGAATTGATCCTTCGATTGATCCTTTGGGCGCGCGTGACCTCTCGAATTGATCCTCGTCGAATTAATTCTCTTCGAATTCATCCTCTCGGTTGAACTGATCCTTCGATTGATCCTTTGGGCGCACGTGGCCTCCCTCGAATTGATCCTCGTCGACCGGCCGCTGGATCCGCTCGCAAGGATGGTGGATGGTGGCGCAGGCGCCGCGGCAGCTCCGCGGTCGGGGATGGTGCCGTCCCCGCGTAGCCGGTGGTACAACGGTGCAAATCGAGGAGCGCGAGGCCCCCCACCGGGATCGCTCGCGCCGCCTCGGGGGGGGGGCCCTAAGGCCGTCCTCGCTCGGGGCCCCCGGCTCGGGGCCCTTGCTGGGCCCTGCGATTTCGTCGTGTTCGGCCTCTCAGGGCCCTTACTGGGGCCCGGGGCCGCCCTTACTGGGCCCCAGGACCGCCAAAACACGACTCAGGATGACACACCAGCCCCGGGGAATGGGTCGAGACCTCTGGGGGTCGACGTTCATGAAGAAATCATGACGTCGGGGGTTGGGGCTTCGACTCCTCCGACTCCATTCGATTCGGTGATCGATTTTAATTCCGGTTCGATTCGACTTCGGAGTCCGATTCGGATTTCGGTTTTCAGTGGAGGTTTTTCTAGGCTGCCGATTGTAGAGGCCTCTGGCCTGTGCCGCCGATCCAGGACGCTCCTTGCGAACCCGTCCTGTTTAATAGCTTGAGAGTTTTGACTCGAGGAGGCAGGATGGCGGAGGAGGAGAGGGAACATGAGGAGGAGGAGGAGGAGGAGGAGGAGGAGGAGGAGGAGGAGGAGGAGGGGGCGATTCCCGCCGATTCGACTTCTCCCGACTAGGCTGCCGATTTCCGCCGATACGATTCACTTGGATCGCCGATCCAACTTCTCGACTCGATTCGGGGATGTTTCTCGGCAGGGGCACCTCCGGTTCCTGGTCGCGAAGGCCGTCGAGGTCTGGCGGGAACATTGGTGGGACGACGGCCCCATGCGAGGAACAAGGAGCGGCATAGGCACAACTGCTCGGATCCTGAGCTCCTGGCGTTTCAGCTATGTCGAGCCAGGCGACTTCGCCCGATTCCGTGCCACGGGGCCCTCACAGATCGATGCGGCTCGAAAAATGCCGCAGGAAGACAGGGCCCAGGGCTCCGGTCGTGATCTTCTACCATGTTAAATATTGTTTCGCGCCGATGGATCTCAGGGGAGCTCGGCGCAGATCTCTTCGATCCGCGCTGGGCCCCGCTGCCGGCGTCTCCGGCGCCGTCCACGGCGCGCCCCGCGCGCCGGGAAAAAGGGGCGTCCAGCGCCGATCCGAGAAATCCGCGCCGACCTCCGAAAGTCGTGGTTCGTGCCGCCGCTTCGTCCTCGAGAGCATGCAGCACGTGCTCGCCCACCTGCAGCGCATGATCCGCAAGTTCGAAGCCACGGGCGCCCGAATCGAGGACGCCCGCGCTGGGAAGCAGTGGGCACGGCTGCAGCGGTGCGCGCAGGCCTGCCGGGAGGAGGCCGCCACAGAAGCCGGCGGGAAGGCTGGCCAGGAGCGGTCGAGGCCTGGCGGGAGAGCAGGTGGATCGTGACGGCGACCAGCTGCGTGCGGCGCGCGCTCGCCCGCCTCCTCCCCCCACCCGCGGGGGAGGGGGCTTCGCCAGACCAGGGGTGGTGCAGGAGAGCGCCGTCGGCACGTGGGACACCGAGCGGGGCGGACCCTCCCATGTTGATCAGCCGACGCCTCGCCGCCCATTTGCGTGCGAGGCGCTCGTGGGCACAGCCCGCCTCGTCCTCGTCCTCGCCCTCCTCGCCCTCCCACCACGGAGGTTTTCGTGTCCTAGCCCTCCTCGCCCTCCTCGCCGTCCTCGCCCTCCTCGCCCTCCCACCACGGAGATTTTCGTGTCCTCGCCCTCCTCGCCCTCCTCGCCCTCCTGCCACGGGGGTTTTCGTGTCCTAGCTCGGGCCTCCAGCGGCCGTTGCGGACGATGCAGGCACCCCCCCGGACGCGCTCGACGAGGCGCGGCTGCGGAGACGCCTCCCGAGGCGGAGTAGTCTCCAGGCGCTGTCGAGCACGTCCGAAAGTGACCCTCGATCCCCGGCTGGTTCGGGTCGCAAGTGGACCCCTGTAGGCCTCCTGGATGGGGTCGGAGTAGACGGGGTCGGGGGGTCGCGTCGCATCGCCGATGCATCGGCGATGCGGCTCGATGTGAAGCCCTATTTTCTCCGCGCCGGCGTCGCCGATGCATCGCCGATGCATCACCGATGCATCGCCGATGCATCGGCGATGCGGTGCAACCCTCCGACCCCATCTACTCGGACCCCATCTAGGAGGCCTCTGACCCCTCCCACCTCGTCCTCCTCCTCTCCATGAATCTTGCTCGGCTGTTGCGGTCCCTGAGCTGCGGTTCCGAGGCTCCCGGCGCCTCCCCCGAGGGGCGCTCTCGCTGGGAGGCCGTGGGCACGGCTGCGGGCACACTCGGCGACCAGGCACTGCTCGGCGGCCGCGGCGCCGCGACACGGCACGGAGACTCGCCAGCTTGCGGCGCCGCCGCGCACGTCCGCCGCCGCAGGGGGCCAGAGAACAGAGCGCGGCATGAGCGCAGTTCTGTCGGAGCTCCGCGCGGGATTCTGGGACGACGGCACGGCCGAGGGCAAAGACAGGGAGGATCAGCATCGTTTGCCCAGTCCTTATCCGCGTCTCCGTCCCCCTTCCGATCGCCACCATCCCCCCACCCCAGTTGCGGATACAGTCGGGGCCCTGAAGAAGGAACCCTTTTCGTTGGGGAGGGGCTCCGCGTTCCTTAAGTGTTTCACAGCTTGCCTCAGGCTTTCCTTATGATGTCTTCGACAGGAAATCGAAGGTCAACTTATGGAACAAAAGGGGCCTCGCTCCTTATTTAGGGTTCCTTAGGTCAACGCCCCGACTGTATGCCCCTCGAAGCCCGAAGGGAGCAGCCTGTGATCCCCATCCAGGGGGGGTGCATCGGCCAGTGGGGCCCAGGCCACGCCGACGCGGGGATGGGGAGCGGCCAAAAGGAGGCCCGGAGGAGGAGGCCCCTGCGCGCCCGCCGCCGCCGCCGCCGCAGCTCCGCGCCGGCCTGGAGGAAAAAGTGCAGCGCAAACGTAGACGTTCGAAGGTCCGCGCGGTCGTCGCGGATCCCCTCCTCCTCCTCCTCCTCCTCCTCCTCCTCCTCCTCCTCCTCCTCCTCCTCCTCCTCCTCCTCCTCCTCCTCCCCCCCCCCCTCCTCCTCCTCCTCCTCTTCTCTTCCTCCTCCCTCCTCCTCCTCCTCCTCCTCCTCCTCCTCCTCCTCCTCCTCCTCCTCCTCCGCAGGGGCGGCGCCTCTGGCGCCGCCCCTGCGCGCTCCGTGCGCCAGGGAGGGAGGCCCCCAGCGCCGACTCCAGAGCCCGAGATGTCATGCTCATACGCCGTCTGCTGTCTCCGGACTTCGGATGTCTGGGGGCGTGGCCCGTCCCCCGTGGGCGGCCCTCGCCTTGTCCCCCCCCCCCACCCCCCTTCGGCCGCCGCCAGCCCCTGCGTTGTTCATTCCTGCAGTGTGGCATGATTCGCTGCAGCGGTGCCCCCGTTGAGCCTAGCTCTTCCGCCAGCGCGATTACTCTGCCTAGCCGCCGACGCAAAAAGTGTCTCAACCTCGGGGGAGGCGTGCGGGGACAGACGAGGGCTGCCGGGGGGGGAGGCGACGATGGGGACGAACAGCCCGGTGCCCCGGTGGTCCGCGTCTTCGGCGAGGCTCCCATCGGGATGCGCGCAACATACCCGCCATCCGTTTCTGCCGCTCGTCCCTCCGGCCTTCCCCGCCTCAGGCCGCACCGTAGTTTGCTCTGTTGCGCCCCACCCGTGTCCTACCGCCGCCGCCTGGATCCAAGTGGCTGCCGACCGACAAAAATCAGGAGAGGAAAAAACACACAGACACAATGAATCCTCGATTCCCCAGAAAATGTGGGAAAACATGGGAAGTGGGGGGGGGAGACAGAAACCCCGAAAATATGGGAAAATATGGGGATTACTTTTATTTGTGTGTATTTATTCGTGTGTCCTGGGGCCCCTTCAAAAAGCACTGCCCGCCCCCGGGGCTCTTCGCCCTCGTCGTCGCCGCTGGGTCGGAGGGGGGGGGGCCTCCGAGGCCCGCTGCTGCTCCCAGGCCGCCCGCGGGGCAGGGCGCCACGGCGCCTCCCTCCCCCCCCCTCCCCTTCCAACCGGCAGGGCGGCCGACCCCCCGCGCGAAAGACCTCGACGAGTCCTGGAATTCGAAGAACTGCTATCTTCGGGGAATGCGAAGACGAGTCCTGGAGTTCGAAGAGTCTTGGAGTTCGAGGAGTCCTGGAATTCGAAGAGTCCTGGAATTCGAAGAGTCTTGGAGTATTAGGCGAAAGACCTCGACGAGTCTTGGAATTCGAAGAATTGTTATCTTCGGGGGTGGGCAGAACTCACAACAGTGACGCGTCGATTGGTGACTTGTCCGTTGTCGGGCCTCGAGAGGGCGCCGTGGCCGTCGTTTTCCAGGCTTGCGCCAGCCAGGTTTGGGCCTCAGGTCGTCTTCACTAAAACCACGGTTTACTATCGGGGGGTCTGTCCATCCCCAATATCTGAGTTCAGAACAATCAGCTTTTGCACTTAAAAGACATTTTTTTCGGAATTCAGAAATCAGTTTTTGGACTTCAGAAGCGGATTTGTGGAATTCAAAGGCCAGTCTGCGCGCGGCACGAGGAGCCTCGAGCCTCAGCTCGGCGGCGAGCGAGGGGGGGAAATGCGAAGGAGAAGACCTTGTCAGCAGGCGGCGGGACTTCTCAGAAGCCCTCGCGCCTTCCGAGGAGTGTCCTGCGTCCCCGGGGAAGGCCCAGAGGATCTCTCAGAAGGCCCCTGGGGGACGCCCGAGCCCTCTGAGAAGGCCTTCTCCTTCTCGCTTGCCCCCCTCGCTCGCCGCCGATGAGCTGCTGCCTGCCGCGCGTGGAGGGGCAGACGACCCCGGGGCGGGGGCCCGGAGCAGAGAGCGGCTGCGCGGCGGCCGCGGCGCGCCGAGGGGGCTTCCCGCTGGCGCGCGGGGCCCGACCACGGGAGGCCCGGGGCCCGCCTCGCCCAGCAGAGCCCCCCCAGGCGACACCGGGACGGACTCGGCCGGGCCGAGCCGGGACAGGTGGCCTCGGCCGGGCTGGGTTCGGCCAGGCTGGGCTCGGCCCAGGCGCACCGCCCACCTCCACCACCCCAACCCGAGCCGAAGGCCTCGATTAGCCCTCCATTTCCGCTGGGGGGGGGGGTCGAGGGGCATTGAAGAACCCGTACCCTCCCCCCCCAACCCGAAATTCGGGTCTTCGGGTGGGGTTGGGGTGGTCTGGTAGGTAGTCACAGGCTGGGTTCGCCTTGGCCGAGTTCAGCCTGGCCGAGGTCAACCAGCCGAGCTCGCCCTGGCCGAGTTTGGCTGGCCGAGCTCGGTCTGCCCGAGTTCAGTTCCTGCCAAGCTACGCCAAGTCGTCGGCAGCCCATCGAGGGCCCCTAGATTACCTGGCGGCCCTGGAACCCCGTTCCAGACCCTGTCCAGGAGGCTCCACGAGCCCGAAGGACGGCCCCAGCGCCCGCAAAGATATCCCAGTGAGTCCCCCAAGCGATTCCCAGATCAGATACACCCAACAGAGCCTAAGAAACTCCAAGCTCATTTAGAAGGACCCACGAAGGCCAACATGCATATATACAACATCTAAGCCAGTCCTCGACTTGGTCTCCTGTGAACGCGTAACATTCACTGGTCGTCGGCTCCAAGAGTGCGTCTGCGGAGCCAAGTAGCACCCACAGGGGTCCCATGAGGGACCCCACACTTGCCCCGAGGCTTTTCCAAGAGGACCCCCAGGACTCCAGGGGGTCGAAGACAAGCTTCCGCAGGATCACAAGACGAGAGGAGAGCGGGGGGCGGAGGAGGAGAAAGAGAAGGGAGTCGGCGACCCCACTGCTGTACCCAGAACGAGAACCCAACCAAGGGAGGGTTGGGCAACTCGCATTCGGGGCATCGCCACGGAGATGCTGCATGCGGCGATGAGGCAGCTCGGCGGCCAGAACACTTGCCGTGAAGGATCGTGTGTCTGGGCCCGTCATCAAGCCTGACGCCTCCAGCAGGCCCCTTTGGGCTGGCACCGACCCGCCGGGCGGGCCGCGGAGCCTTGGGGGGACTTCGCGAGCGGCGGCCTTGGAGGACTCGTGGCGCTTGCTTGCGCAGGCCGGGCCGCGTCTCAGGTCCAAGGCACGCGCAGAGATGGGGGCTGGCGTCAATTCGGAGGCGACGACAGGGGCGAAGAGCCCACGGGAGGCAATCCATGGCCGCATCCATCGCGTTCGCGTCACAAGGGTTCTGTACTGGAGCGGAATGCATGGCCAACACGGGGTCACACAGCCCCGCTGGGTCATGGGACCAACACGGGGTCATACCAGCTGCGCTTGGCTCCCGAGGTCTCCCCCCGAGGGCTCCCGAGAGAGGTCACACGACATGCCCGCCAACACGGGTGTGTGGCTGCCGCAAGTTGGCAACGCAACACAATGGACGCGGCCACATGTGTCCAGGGGCGCCGGTGTTCCATGTCTCCGGTGAACCCCCCCAGCGAATACATGTATTTCGTGGGCTACTCGACCCTATTGTCGCCTTCGATCTACGTCCATCAAGGGACAGGCAGAGGGCTTGAAGAACCTGATCAAGCCAACGCAGCGCCTTCAAGGACAGGGCTCTAACCAGCTCGCGGCTCAAACCAAGCAGTTCGGCGAGTTTGGGAATATGCTTTGCCGCCAGCCAGGTCGCGTGTCTAGCTGGCCGAGGCCGCGAAGGAACAGGCTGAGAGGGCAACCTCTGCCGAGGCTAACCAGTTGGAATGCCCGTGCGCCTCCTCGCTGCAAGGGAGATCGCAGTCGGGCCAAGCCTTCAGCGAGATGGTGAGCGAACCCGCCCCCTGGGGGCCGTGGCGAACACGGATTATGCGCTTCGAGCGTGCCATCAGTCCAATTGCCAAGCCTTCAGCGAGATGGTGAGCGAATTCGCCCCCTGGAGGCCGTGGCGAACACGGATCGTGCGCTTCGAGCGTGCCATCAGTTCAATTGCCAAGCCCTCAGCGAGATGGTGAGCGAACTCGCCCCCTGGGGGCCCTGGCGAGCACGGATTATGCGCCTCGAGCGTGCCATCCGTCCAATTGTTCGGATTACCGAGTTCTCAGTGCGGCGCCTCGTCGCCGCAGGACATGTCGGCGCGCGTGCTCGAGTGGTTTTGTGAAGTCGCCGAGGAGGAGCACAACATAGTGTTTCCCAATTTTGAAGTCGCCGAGGAAGAGCACAACATAATGTTTTGAAGTCGCCGAGGAAGAGCACAGTAATAGGTTACGCAAGTTCTTCTCTTAGGCAAGGTGTATAAACGCATACAGTAGGGGCGTTCGTTCAGGAGTTTGCCCAGGAGGCTTCCGGGCGGCGGTGACATCCACGCTCAATCCACGATTGGAGTTCCGCCGCTTTCCAGACCCTGGATTCCTTATCCAAGGGTTCCTTGTCCAACGCCCTCACCATAGTGCAGCAGAGTGTGCTGGAAAGGCGTGCACAACAAGACGAGCGGATTGGTCTCAGTCAGAGTCTGCCCCAGCGACACTCTCTTGCCTGCTCAGTGTCTCCCCCCATCACTCTCCACTTCCTCTTCGCCCCTTCCCCCTCCTCCCCCCTCCCCCTCCCGCCAACGACGACGACGACGTCGTCGCCGTCGTCGACATCGACATCGTCGTCGTCCTCGTACTCGGCCTCGCCGTCGTCGTTGTCGTCC